TCCCTGTGGACACCAACTGTAATTGGTTGAGCGGAAGAGCTTGCCCCATTTGCGTAGACATATTGGCTTCTGTTGCTGAGGTAAGACTTGAGGTAGTTGAGGGAGTGCCCTCTAATACCATAGTGTGACAATTTTACGTGGAGCAAGTCATGGTCAACTGTATAAAAAGTTTTAAACGTAAGTCAATGAAGATCCCCAGTGGGACTTCTTTTTTTCTCTATTGCAGTGTATATATGTTCTAGCATGTGTATAATAGCATCATTAGTATTTTTATTAGGCCTGAATCCAAATTGGCAGGGGTTGAGAATGTTTTGGGAGATGAGGTAGGAGTAGATTCGTTTATGAATTAATTTTTCGAAGATTTTTGAGAGAGGGTGTAAGTTGGATATTGGCCTATAGTTATTCAACTCTGGTCTCCTCCTTTGTGGATCGGGGTGACCCTTGCTATTTTGAGAGCTGTAGGGAAGGTGGAGGATTCAATGGATTTGTTAAAGAGTGTTGCAATGATTGGTGATAGTACTTGTGACACTTTTTTGTATATAAAGGGTGGTACGGTATTTAAATCTCCTGCCTTGTTTTTTAGTGCATTGATAATAAGGGAGACTTCGTATGGGTTAGTCGGAGCTAGGAACAGTGTGTTCGGGTAGTTGCCAGTGAGGTAGTCATTTGGTGGGGTATTTGAGCTTGGGATTTTATTGGCAAGATTTTGTCCTATAGTGGAGAAGAAATCATTGAGTCTGTTTGCTGTTTCTGTTGGTGGGAGTTGGGGTTCATCTGATTTTGCCAATTTTATTTCGCTATTTCGTGATATCTTTTTTGTTCCCAGAATTTCTGATAGGGTCTTCCAGGTCTTTTTTATATCACCTCGTAAGTTGGATAATCTGTTCTCATAATACAGTTTTTTTGCCCTTCTTATCAGGCTGGTTAGGACTGACGAGTAACGTTTTGTTTGGTCTCTGGTTATGTGACCCATTCTGTACTTCTGTACTGTTTTTCATATCGGTGTTTTGTATTTATGGATTTGAGAATATTGGGTGTTAGCCAGGGACTGTTCCGTCTCTTAGCTGTCATCTGTTTAGTTTTTTTAGGGCAGTGCTTGTTATAGAGGTATTGGGTCTTTTTTAGAAAATTATTAAAACATTCGTCAATATCTGTATAGATTTCTAGCTCAGTGTGCCAGTCAATGTTTGTTACTGCTGTTGTGAAGTTATTAATGGCTGCCTCATTGTGAAGTCTGAAGGTGACTTTAGTAGTGTCTTGGGGTATTTTACCAAGAGTTGTTATGAGGAAAGTAGGGTAGTGGTCTGTGGTATTATCTGTAATTATGCCTGATTTTAAAGGGGATATGGTGTTGGTCCAGATGTGGTCAAGTAGGGAAACACTAGTCTCTGTAACTCTTGTAGGTTTTGTTACTGTTGGTAGCAACATACAGTTACTCATTGTGTTTGTGAATTCAGTAACGTGTGGGTCCTGGTCTTGCAGGAGATTTATATTGAAGTCACCTGAGAGTAGTAAGTGATCTTTGTTCATGCGTGCATCAGTTATCATACTTCCTAGGTTTTGACTAAATTGGCTAATGTTTGATTGTGGAACTCTGTAGATGTTTATCACTGTGAGAGGTTTTTGTAGGTATTTGGATTTGAATTTAGCTATTATATGTTCCCCATGTTCATCCCTTGTGCAAGTATTAGTGATACATTCTAGTTGGTCTGAATAGTATATAGCTGTGCCACCCCCTTGTTGGTCTGGCCTACAGTTGTGTATGGCTGTGTAACCAGGAATGCATAGACATCTGTAGTATCAGGCTTTAGCCAGGTTTCAGTTAGTGTAATGATGGACATATTGGCATGCAAGGAATTTAGTAATGCTAGGAGGTCATCGTAATGCTTGCTTAAAGATCTGATATTGTAGTTAAAGATAGTTATGTTGTTGTTGGCTCTGAGAAGTGCCTTTGATTGTTCTGCAGTGTAGTAATTACAGTTACTGTTTGAATCATTTAAGTCATTAAATAAGAGGTTGGTATCAGGATCAAGCTTGTAATAAAAAATTTTTAGGAACTATAGTTGAATTAAGTAAACCAAATAAATATTCAAATAAAAAAAAAGCACCTAATTTTTAACAAATGTAAAAAAAATGAGCTAAGGTTTTTTTTAAAGCTAAAAAAAAGGGAGACAATAAAAAGGGGCTAAAAATAATTTGGGGTGAACAAAAAATGAGTCAAATAATGGAGTTTTGGAATTTTGATAGTGGGTAGTATTTTAAAAGGGTAATTCTTTAATTAAAATTTATAAATAAAATTTAATATAAAAGGGACTAATATAAGTTGTGGTGAAAAATAAAGGGTAATAAATAATTGCCTAAGGTCAAATATAAGACTTTTGTGGAGTCATTTTTGACTAAAAGAGCTATAGTACAACTAGTTTTAATCAAAAAATATAACAATCCAAATTAAAAATAGCAGAAATTTAAAAAACTGGGGGAAACCAAAACCCCAGATACGGGGGTACTACGTATTGGTGTATAATCAACAGTAATACTTAATCCTATTTTTCAAAAGCTGCATTATTTTCCCCCCTTAAAGAATGCGGGGCCCAAAAAAGGGGGTTGGGGGGCGTATCTCAGCCTCTTTCTTTTTGAGGCAAAAGGAGGTTTCGCCGTGTCATTGACACCTTGGACAACATCACTGTACCCTTTCGTTTGGGGCCGTCCGGGACATGACCTGCTAAACCACCACTGGCCCCCCGGGAAGTAAAGGTGTGGGGCCTAGGCGGCCGGATCTCTGCCTTGGTGCCGGCCAGCACATTTCCCCCGCTCCCTGGTTGGCGCGAAAATTCGGGGAATGGGCCCGAGGGGGGGAAATGGCCGCATGGCCGCCGCAGTTGCACCTGAAGGTTGTGCCAGCCCTTGGCTCGCCCCATGCCTCAGCCATTTTGAGCGACGAGATGCCCCCAACCCGGGGCCCGATTATCATTTTATTTTTTATTACAAATTTATTATTTTTTTTGTTTTTTATTAAAATGGGCCCGTTTCCCACCAAGGCAGAGGGGCCCCAAAAAAGAAAACTTTCTCATCATTTTTCCATCACGCCCTTGCCGAGGCATGTTTATAATAATTTAAAAAAACGCAACATTAACCCCCCCTCCTTCAAGGCAGACACTGAAATTTCCCCCATCTCCGGGACTCAATCCACCTCCCGGGTTTCCCTTGAATCCCTGCATTAAATGTTACCTTCTTAATTCCAAAATACTCAAGGCCTAAAACCACTTGTCTCCATTTGCCCCTATCAAACCCCTCACACAGTTGGGGAAGCCCAAGCCCCCGCACACAAAAACCCCCTTTACCCCTCCCCCCACCTTTCCCTGGGCCAACCCCCTCCCCCTGCCTTCCCCCCACTACATATTTAAACACTCCGAAGTGATATTTTTTTCCACCCTACAGTCCAAACCATCTCAATAACCCCCCCTCACCCCTCGGGAAAAAGTTTTTGGAAAATCCTACCCCCCTCCAAAATCTCCAAATAGGGTTTCTCTGCTTTATACTCACACAACACTGCCCCAGACATGACTTCCCCCTGCCTCCAACCTTCTTTTTTTTGAAAACATTCCAACCTCCCCTCACCCCCAACAGAGAGCTGGTATAACTATACTCTCATACATTCCCCTCTTTGGTTTTCGGGATAAAGTTCTTTTTCCACAGACCCCTCAGTGCACCACTCAATTTTTTCCCTCATCAATTCTTGATTTCCCCCTTTTAAAAACCCCACCGCTGACACGTCCACTCCCAAATATCTGAACACATTCACCCCCCCCATACTCCTCCCCCAATCTGAATCCAATTTTCTTACCAATTTTTTTGTTATCCCATCACCTTACTCTTTCCATATTCACTTTTAATTTCCTTCTTTTACAACCCTCCCAAAAACTCATCAAAAACCTTTCTGCAACTTCTTTTCAGAATCTCCCAAAAGCACAGTGTCATCAGAAAAGAGAAAACTGTTTAGTTCTTTATCTTTAACCCACACCTCTTGCCAACACCATAACCCCACTTCTCTTACAACCCACTATAAATTATTGAAAAACCAGGGTGACATCACCATCCTTTCTAAGGCCTATTTTTACGGGGAAATAACTCCCTCTCGCCTACAAACTCTACCGGAGCTCACATCCTCGTAAAAATTTTTTCACTGTTTTTCAATAACCCTTCCTACACCATACCCTAACATCTCAACTTTGACCCATCCACCCTATCAACCCCTTTTCCCAAAAACCCAAAATGCACAAAAACCTCTTCCCCTTATTTAAACTGTTCCCCAAATATTTTTCACTGTAAACCCCTGGCCACACACCCCCAACCTTTTTTCCCAAAGCCTCCTTGTTTCTGCTATCCTGCTCTCTGCTTCTTTTAACCCTTTTTCGGGTCAGCAGAGCTCTCCTAAACTTGTTCTCAGGGGGGAAAAAAAAAAAAATTTATTTTTTCTTGTAAATATGGGAAATTTTTTCCGATCATAATGACCCCAAAAGATGAATTTGAGGGAAAAAACTTGGGGGGTTAGCCCCGTAATTAGCGTCTCGACATTTTATCTCAAAGTTTTTTGCCCACTTGAGCCCTATTTTCGGCCTTTTCCAAGAACCCTCATAAAAATAACCCTATTTCGCTAAACTCCATATTTTCTATCGAAGATACAAGAAACCCCCCCTTTCCCAAATTTCCACTACCCAAATAATGGTCAGAAATTGGAAATTTTTGCTAATCCACACAAATTTCAAAAGTGCAATTTCCAAATGGGGTCCAGAATAAACAAGACAGACATTCTGGCACTAAAATAACATTTCTCTTTCATTCCCAATGTCCCCGGCCTCTGTTGCATTTCTTTTGCTTTCGACTTGAATTTTTTTTCTCGAAAAAAATAGAAGATTTTTTATGTAGACTATGCATTCATTAGAAAGGGCGTAGAAATTTTTAAAAAAATATCGGGCATTTGTGAAAAAATTTACACTCACCGTTGACGTTACGACGCAGGGCATTGTTTACCTTTGAATTTTGGCAAAAATTGAACTTTTTGCTAATTTGACTTAATTTCAAGGTACTTTTTCATTTGAAACCAATCAAAACATCTAAATTTTCCCATAATATGTCTTCCTTTCTATAAAACGAGACCGGGGAAAACTAGAGTACAACCAAAAACGCAATGAAAATACACGGCCAAGTCGTTTTTTAAACAAAAACAGTCGGATTTTTTTTTTCTCATTTTTTCATGTGTACTGGGATTTTTTTTATCCAACACACTGACCAATAGACCCATTCTTTCAATGTAGGCCTACCATTTTCTCTCGCTAGATTTGAAGGTGTTAGAATTTAGCATACTGTACGGCACCAAACCCTGGCTGCAAGCCGATAGTACAGCCCCACCCTAAAGGGGGTTAATTCAATAATAACTCTACCATAATTTTTACCAGTATACTCAACACTTTTTTTTTTTTAACAAACCGGCCGTGCCCACCCGGGCAGGGGGGCCCCAAAAAAAAAAAAAAGTTTCTTTTTTAAAAATTTGAAAATTTATAGGGGGAAAAGGGTTATGCCCTTGCCCCCGGCTTTTTATCCCCTTACAACAGCATGGCTTAGGGAGGAAGAATTTCTGTTCCATTTCCCATGGGGGTAAAGGAAAATAAAAAAACAAGAATTAAAAAGAAAATAGAAGAAAACCAAGGGGTGTTTTAATAATTCTTGACATGTATGTGTAGTGGACCTAATTAAGTAAAAGAGCAAGACACCCTGAAACGAGTTTGAGACAGAAAAAAAGGACCCACAATCCTACCATCATGTAAAAAAATACAGGTTTTCGTTGTACATTCACTTGGCAGACGCAGTACCTCCCTGGGCAGTTGCCTACCAACCTCACCACCCAACGGCTTATTCCCCTATAATTTTTGCACTCTCTTTTCCCCCTTTGCCTTTAATAAAGGAACATGCATGCTTTCTGCCAATCCCGGGTCCCTTCCCCTTTTCCCATACATTTATTAAAAAAAGCACCAACCCTCCAAAACTAATCCCCACCGCTTTAAGTTTTGGAGGGGTTATTAGTATTCCATTATTATTACTATTATCCCATTAATTTTTTTTTTTTTAACCACTGGCTGTTTCCCCCCAAAGGAAAAGGGGGCCCCCAAAGGGCGGGTGGCCCAAAAAAAAAAAAACTTTCCCTCATTCCCCCATCACGCTTGCCAAAGGGTTTTTTTACCTACGTTATAAAAGTGCAATATTAAACCCCCCATTATTTTATTACTGTTTCATTATTATTTTTACTTTTATTATTCTTATCATGGGAAGATCTAAATGTGGGGGGCACAGTGCATCATTACGTCAAAATAATGCAAAAAGGCAATCCCCTTTAAGGTTTCCATAAAAAAAGCGACATCTTTATAGTCTTTTGATGTCTTTGGTCGGCAATCAAACACACAGCATTCCCATTATGGTTTCAATAAACACACACACCATCATCATTGCCGGGGGTATAAAACACAGAACATCCCACCATCATCACAGGGTGATCAATCCGTGATGTATGCGCCCATCAATAACGATGTCAATTTGGGGTCGACCATAGGGAGAAAATGACTTCAAAAGGGGCGAAGACTTTTCCCCTGGAGTCCGGGCCCGGGGCACAGTGCTGGGCCCGCGGATGGAACCTGCCAGGCTGAGTATCATCAATGTATATCAACGACATCAAAAAATTATGAAAAAAAAAAAAATTATAAATTTAATGGCTTGGGGAAAAAATTGGAATTATGGGGCCATTTCAGTGAACCGCAAGACATCGTTTGTATCAATGGGCATCAAAGATGACAAAAATCGTGATTGTAAAGTTCTCAAATTTAAAAAAACTTAGGAAAAATTAAAAAAAATTGGTAGGCCTAAACAGCATGGAACCGCCCAAACACAAAAGTCATCAATGACAACAAAAAAAACACAAAAGGGGCTAACAAATCAAAAAATTACACCTAAATCCAACTACACCACTTTTGCACCCCCAAAATTTTTTAAAAACACAGATCAAAAGATTGCCACATTTTTCAGCTCAAAGACTTATTTTTTCCCAAAATATGTCTCAAAATTAACCCAACTCTTTGAGGGCCCCGTACCATTAAACTTTTTTACAAAATTGTTTGGGCAGAAATGGGGGTTTTTTTGACACCAAAGGGGTCTCGTTCGCCCAAAACCTGATGTCGAAAAAGATTTTAGCATCTGCAACTTCCATTAAGGGAAGTTTTTAACTTTCAAAAAACACTGGGGACTTTCTGTATTGTGAAATATATAATAATATTTATACACAATTCAGGTCCCCAAATTTCTGTAAGTTGAAGATTTCTGTATTTGAATATAGACCAATTTTAGGGCCACAATATGAAAAAAGAACATGTGCAACAGTTAGACATCTTTTTTTTGAAAGTTTCACCTACTCAGTAGACTTTTTCAGCAATACAAAGTTCAAAGAAGCAGAAGAGGGGGTTAAAAACAAGTAACATCCCCTCAAACCCTTTAAGAGTATTCTGAGACGGTCATCCCTCCCTTTTTCCATATTCTGGGCAATTGAAGTTGAAGTGATGTAGGAACTTATATTTCCATCAGGAGTGAGGTGCAGCACAACTAGAAGAAAGAATGAATTATTGAGAGGTCAGTTCCTCTAACCCAACCATTCTCGCTAAAAAATTTGCCCCAAAAGTCTTCTGTTTTTACCCAAAATACCATTGTGTTGCAGTGCCCGACAGGTGAGTATTTTAAAAGGTATAAAATTACGACAGGTTGGGAATAAGAGTTACAACAGTAGGGTTTCCCGGACAGAAGAAATCTTGGACAACTTTTTCTAGCAGAATGGTTTAAACGAAGGAACCGACCTCTCAATAATTTCATTTTTTCTTTTAGTAGTGTGCTGCACCCCCTCCTGATGGATAAAGCTACATACTAAACACTTCAAATTCACATTTTCCCGAATGGAACAAGGGGGGGACTGACCCTCTCAGAACTACGTCTTCAAGGTTTGATGACTGATTACACGTAGTATTTACATCTTATGGTCTTTTAACTCTCTGTACTGACTGAAAAAGATGCCTAAATGCTGCTATGTGTCTACTTATCACATTATGGGCTTCCCAAATGTCTATATCATTATTGTGTATTATATCATATTATATACACCCACCCAAATGACTTACGACCCCTAGACAATGACCCCCGACATAACTGCCGACTTACGACGTTTTATATCCAAATTTCTGGGAAAAAACAAGTTTGGTTTTTACACTGTGTTTTTCCCCAAACTTAGGTAAAAATACAGTATAACAGCATAAAAAATAAGTAAAAATGAAATACCCAAAATAAAAAATAAAAAAACATTAAAAAATGTGTTTTTAAAATTTTGTATAAGGTTGAACTTACGCCATTTTTACTTTCGACCTTGGGTTGGGCCAAGCACGGGCGTTTAATCTGATTGTAGGGTATTATTATACACAAAAAACAAGGGCCCAATCTGTTAACCTTCCTGTATAAGTGGCCCCCCCCCATAACGATATTAATCCGTTTATAGACTCATTTTTTGTAAATTATCGTTTGCAATGAATTTTCCCCCTAAGAAAAAAAGGAAACAAATTTAAACCGGCAAAAAACCCAAAAGTATAAAAAAAAAAATTTCCACAGAAATAACATTTTTCCCACACCAAAGAGAAGGAACATGCAAATGAAGTAGTACATCACAAAAATTTTGTGCAGTACTACCACTAAAGAAGAATAAAAGACACTTACCTTTATTGAAATGCAGCAATGACTGATGAGACACTGTGTCCGGGGGTGCCTTTTCCTCCTAACTGTGGTCCCGTTTGGGGTTTTCTTCCAGAACAGGCCTTATAAAAACTGTGTATTCACTATGTTCTTAAAAACGCTCAAACCAACCTTTTCTGGGTTTAAATTTACCATATGAGCACTATTCCAGGCATTTTTTTCCGTTCACTGGTTTAGTCGACTGTGGGTTGATCCCCGGAGACCAAACTAAGGACCCCAAGGAAATAAGTTAGACAGTCTTCGATACACACTTTTTTGGTATCCGGGGGCTAACCCCTTGGGTTTTTGTTTTTTTGTATTCTAAAAAGCCACACCAACAACGGGCACAGAGCAGCAGCGCAGCGACAGTGACGCAGCAGCAGCACAGCTGACAGTGCACAGCGCAGCAGACGATGCTACAGCGCACAGTGGTACTACAGCACAGCACAAAAGGGGACAAAAGCACGAGCTGACGGTGGGACAGCAGCAGCAGCGCTACGTGCTACAGCACACCAGCACTGACATGCTACAGCAGCAGCAGCAGCGACATGTTAAGCAGCACAGAACAATGCACAGCAGCAGCAGACGGGACTACAACAGCAGCACAGCATACGGGGGACAGCAGCACAGGACGGTGCTACAGCAGCACAGCAGCGACGTGCTACAGCAGAGCAGCAGCTGACAGGGTACAGCAGCGCAACGACACAGCGCAGAGCAATGCACAGCACAGCGCGGGACTACAGCAGCAGCGCAGCAACAAACAACGCAGCACAGCGCAGCTACGGTGGTACAGCACAGCGCAGCTGACGGGGGGTACAGCAGCAGCAGCAGCTGATGGGTTACAAGCACTGAAGTGAAAAGCAGCAGCAGCAGCCCCACATTGACCAGGTACCCCAATTTCGATAATATTTTTCACCCTTTTACACAGGGTTGGCACTAGAAGCTTTCTTGGGGCCCCTGGGCACTTATTTTGCAGATAAAAACACCAAAAACACGAATAATACGAAATGTTACGATTGATGCTTGGATGTTTTCCGGGAGGCTGGGTTGTAAACAAAGCACCGGGGGAACAGTGAGGCTGGCTCAGGCCCACAAGACTGTCTCGACAACAGCGTTGACGTTTTTTTGGGTAGCCCAGGCAAAATCTTTTGCGATAAAATGTATGGTAGCGGATTTAATGTATGTAAGGCCAACGGATCGGGGGGGCCCCTGA